TAGAAGACTTGCTCATGCAAGCAAGAAGGACAAGGTACGATGTCATCGGCCTTGCCGAGACGGGGCGACGCCATCCATTCAACGCCGTCTATGACACCGGAGAAGAACTGTTCTTCGGAACATGCGGCAGTAGATGAGTCGGCGGCGTTGGCGTTCTCGTCATCACTAGTTTGTCCATGAGCATCGACTCATTCGAATAGCTTAGAACCCGGATCGGACGTTTACGATTAAAAATATGTGGATGAATACCGGCTTTGACAATCTTTGTCCCTTACGCGCCGATATCAAACAATGAAGAAGAAGAAGTCAATGTATTCTAAAAAGACTTGGAAAAGTTCTACAAAGAAGACCATACAGTCTTCGAAGTTATCATTGTAGCTTGTATATGTACATATATATTGCCAAGATTGGACCAAGAAGAACGTCTGAAGAATGTCACATTGGGACCAATGGATTAGAGTGGAACGAACAGGGTGAGCGGCTATCTGAGTTTATCATGGCGACCAAGACCATCCATGGTAACTCGCAATTCCACAAACCCAACCCTCAGCGCTGGACGTAGGAGTCTTCCAATGGGCAGTACCATAACGAAGTAGACCACATCGCAGTAAATAGAAAGTTTTGCCTAACCGATGTCGCTGTTGTCCCAAAATTCTACACGGCATCAGACCACCGTCTCCTTAGTGCCAGATTCTATTTCTAGTGGAGAGGAGAAAAAGCCGCTAAATTCAAAAACCAAAGTGGCAATACCAACTTAACCTGGGACTTATTCAATTCATTATTCGGCTGTTGGGAAGGTACCGTTGTTGGTAACATCGACGAAGAAGACGATCGGCTCATTCAACATCTTCACGCTAGCGCTATGAAAGCTGAGAGTTCGAAGGTCACCAAGAGACGTCTGTCTCCAAAAACACTCGGCCTGATACGCCAGCGTGGAATCGCACGGGCTGCAAGCAACCGTGAACTAGCGTCCGAACTTGCAAAACAATGCAGATAAAAGGAGATCTTAAGGAGAGAAGAGCAGCAGTAATGGTCGAATCTGCAAAGAATGAGAAAAGCATTCATAGAGCCCACCGAAGCTTCGCCAATTACAAGACCAAGACGATTGCACTCATTGTCCTCAAGGCCATTGTCAGCACTGGAGATTTTAACGCTAAGATTGGACCAAGAAGAACGTCTGAACAACGGCAGATTGGGACCCACGGACTAGAATAGCAGGATGATTGGCTGTTTGAGTTTATCATAACGACCAAGAGCGTTCGTCGCAATTCATAGTTCCCACCTTCAACGCTGGACGTTGGATTCTCCCGATAGAGAGTAGCATTACGAAATAGACTACATCATAGTAAACAGAAAGTTTTGCCTTAGCGATGACGCTGTTGTCCCAATATTCTACACGGAATCAGAGCATCGTCTCCTTCGTGCAATATTCTATTTCTTGCAGAAAGGAGAAAAAGTGGCCAAACTCAAAACCAAAGTCCCAGAACCACCGCAAACTAGGGCTTATTCAATTCATTTTTCGGCTGCTGAGAAGATGTCGTTGTCGGTAACACCGACGAAGAAGACGATCGGCTCATTCAACATCTTTACGTTAGCGCTGTGAAAGCTGAGAGTTCGAAGGCCACCAAGAGACGTCTGTCTCGGAAACATTTGAGCTGGTACGTCAGTGTGGAATCGCACGAGCTGCAGGCAACCGCGATCTGGCGTCCGAACTTGCAAAACAATGCAGACAGGCGATAAAAGAGGATCTTAAAGAGAGAAGAGCAGCAGTAATGGTCGAAGTGGCAGAGGCTGGGAAAAGCATTCCCGAAACTCATCGAGCTTCGCCAGTTGCAAAACCAGGATGACTGTACTCCGACGCCCAGACGGAACAGTCACAGCGTCCAGAAAGGCAATGGAGAAAGTCATTCACGATTACTATTCAGATCTCTTTAATAGCCACGTCCTCCTCTCATATGAAATAAAGGAGGATGGATATGTTGTATCACCGGTTCTTCCTTCCGAAATCCCACANGAAAAAGTGGCCAAACTCAAAACCAAAGTCCCAGAACCACCGCAAACTAGGGCTTATTCAATTCATTTTTCGGCTGCTGAGAAGATGTCGTTGTCGGTAACACCGACGAAGAAGACGATCGGCTCATTCAACATCTTTACGTTAGCGCTGTGAAAGCTGAGAGTTCGAAGGCCACCAAGAGACGTCTGTCTCGGAAACATTTGAGCTGGTACGTCAGTGTGGAATCGCACGAGCTGCAGGCAACCGCGATCTGGCGTCCGAACTTGCAAAACAATGCAGACAGGCGATAAAAGAGGATCTTAAAGAGAGAAGAGCAGCAGTAATGGTCGAAGTGGCAGAGGCTGGGAAAAGCATTCCCGAAACTCATCGAGCTTCGCCAGTTGCAAAACCAGGATGACTGTACTCCGACGCCCAGACGGAACAGTCACAGCGTCCAGAAAGGCAATGGAGAAAGTCATTCACGATTACTATTCAGATCTCTTTAATAGCCACGTCCTCCTCTCATATGAAATAAAGGAGGATGGATATGTTGTATCACCGGTTCTTCCTTCCGAAATCCCACATGCCATTTCTCCGGTGGAAAATCGAACAGCACCTGGTCCGGAAACGATAAGACCAGAACACCTGAAGAACCTTCCGCCAGTCCTCGTAAATACCCTGGCTAGGCTCCTCACGCGTTACCTGTCTGACTTCAAGCTCCCTACTCAGTGGAAGACCAGCAAGACCGTGTTATTGTTCAAGAATGGTGACCTACACGTTATCAGCCACTTTCGCCCAATCTGCTTGCTGTCTGTCCTCTACAAATTTTTCACTCGAGTCATCCTAAACATTATTGACAGAACACTGGCCGAACGACAGCCATGTGAGCTAGCAGGTTTTCAAAAACGATTTAGTACGATGGACCACATCCACACGATAGCAAGGCTCATTGAGGTATCGCGAGAGTACAAAAGACCGCTCTGTCCCACTTTCATCGATTTACAGAAGGCCTTTGATTCAATTGAGATAGAAGCAGCCATGGTAAGCCCTTGATAATCACGGAGCCCCTACTCAGTACATAAAGATTCTTCGTGAGCTGTACAAAAATTTCACAAAAAGTATCACCATTCTACAACGATATTAACATTGACGTCAAAAGAGAAGTTAGACAAGGCTATACCATCTCGCCAAAATTATTTACTGCCACCCTCCAGAACGTCATGCGAGCATTGGAAAGGAATAATATGGGAGTGAAAATCGATGGTCGGCAATTACACCATCTTGGGTTTGCTGATGACGCCAAACATTAACCAAGCGGAGCGTATGCTTGCTGAGTTTGATAAAGTTTGTGGGAAGATTGGTCTTCGACTAAATCTCACAAAAACGATGTTCATAAACAACGGATTGGTTTCGTATGCCCTATTCACGCTCAACGAAACGAATATCTCCAAGTGCTCCAGTTATATCTATCGGGAAATCAACATGGTGAACGACTTAGCTCCAGGGTTGAGCAGAAGGAAATCAGCGGTTTGGGAAGCTTTCAAGAGCAACGAGGATGTAGTGAAGAGAACAAAGAACACTCGACTCTGTGCCCACCATTTCGACTCAGCGGCACTTCCTGCTCTAACGTATGCGTCATAAACCAGGTCGCTGCATAAGCGGGATGAAAGACCATTCAGCGTTATCGAACGTGCAGTCGAAAGGACGATGCCTGGAGTATTCCGTTTCACACAACCAAGGGAAGGGATCCGAAGCTCCGATCTGTGTCAACGATCAAAAATCAAAGACGCCGTTCTGTACGCCAAACAGTCGAAGATAAGGTGGGCCGAACACATCATGCATATGAATGACAACCGATGGACAAGAGCCGTTAGTGACTGGATTCCTTGGGATGTCAAACGTACTGCTCACTGACCCGATGGTCAGAGTTCTTCACTAAGAGCCTAGAAGAAAGATATGATGCTCGACGAGTCCCTAGAGCGAGCAGAACCCTCTGGGCTACTCTTGCACGCAATAGGGAAAAATGTAAGGTTTACTGGCGCCCGTTCGAGTCACTCGACGATCAATGGGGCTACAGCTAACATAGGTGATAGGGGCAAGTAGCACAGTGATGCCTGTCGTCATGAGCAGGGTGCTAGTTCGATCCCGCTCTGGGATCACTAAGCCTGTCATCCTTCCCGGGTCGAGAAATTGCTTCAGAACTTGTCTGGAAAGAATCCTCTCTCCGCAATCCAAGCGAGAACGCTCTAGCCCCGATATCTCACGACTGCAGGGAGAATCGAGTTTACCAGCATTCGACGACATTCTTGACGAAAGGAAAAATCCTTAAGCAGTGGCAGAAGCATAGGAGGTTGAAAGACCACGTGGTTGACGGAAGCGAGGACACCAATTGAATGCAGGAAGTGCTATTATCCGCACAGTAGATGTGAAAGACGGGAGGAGTGAAAACGATATATGTTTATATGTGTAGATACATATATATACATATATATATACATATATATAGATACATATATATACATATATGTAGATACATATATACATATATATATCACCTATAGCACCTGCAGTTCCGTTGATCGTCAAGTGACTCGAGCGGGCCCCGGTAAATCCTCCACCTTTCCCTGTCGTGCTCAAGAGTAGCCCAGTGGGTTCTGCTCGCTCTAGGGACTCGTCGAGCATCATATCTTTCTTCAAGGCTCTTTCTGAAGAACTCTGACCATCGGATCGGTGGTCTTCCTGCAGTACGTTTGACATCCCGAGGAATCCAGTCACTAACAGTTCTTGTCTACCGGTTGTCATTCATACGCATTACGTGTCCGGCCCACCTTATCTTCGACTGTTTGGCGTACAGAACGGCGTCTTTGATTTTTGATCGTTGACACAGATCGGAGCTTCGGATTCCTTCCTTTAGTTGTGTGACACGGGATACTCCTAGCGTCGTGCTTTCGACTGCACGTTCGATAACGCTGAGTTATCTTTAATCCCGCTTATGCAGCGACCTGGTTTATAACGCATATGTTAAGGCAGAAAGTACCGTTGAGTCGAAGAGGTGGGTGCGGAGGCGGGTGGTCTTTGTTCCCTTCACTACATCGTCGATGCTCTTGAAAGCTCTCCACGCCACTCGTTTTCTTCCGCTCAGCTCTGGGGCTAAGTTTTTCATCATGTAGATTTCCCGACCAAGATAGACGTAACTGGAGCAGTCAGAGATATTCGTTCCGTTGAGCGTGGATGGGGCGTACGATACCAATCCGCTTCTCATGAACGTCGTTTCTGTGAGATTTAGTCGAAGACCAATCTTTCCACAGGTTTTGTCAAAGCGGGCAGGCATACGCTCCGCTTGGCTAAGGTTTGGTATAAGGACGATGTCATCAGCAAAGCAAAGATGGTGCAACTGCCGATCATCGATTTTCACTCTCATATTACTCCATCCAAATGTTCGCATGTTGTTCTGGAAGGTGGTGGTAAATAATTTTGGCGAGATGGTGTCGCCTTGCCTATCTCCTGTTTTCGTATTGATGTTAATATGGTTATAGAATGTTTATATCTTGCTTGTGGAATTTTTTTTACAGTTCACAAAGAATCTTTATGTAGACTGTAATGAGTAGGGACTCCCTAACTATCAAGGGCTTCGGTGACAGCTTCCATGTCAGTCGAATCAAAAGTCTTCTTTAAATCGAAGAATGTTAAACAGACGTGTCTTTTCTGCGCTCACGATATTTCAATGAGCCTTGTTATCCTGTAGATATGGTCCATCGTGCTGAATCGTTTTCGAAACCCTGCTTGGTCACATGGCTATCCTTTGTTCAGTGTTCTGCCAATCATGTTTAGGATGACTCGCGTGGAAAGCCTGTTTACGACAGACAGCAAGCGGATTGAGCGATGGTTGCCGATATCGTTGAGTTCACAATTCTTGAATAATAGCACAGTCCTTCTAGTCTTCCGCTGAGTAGGGACCTTCCATTCAGACGGGTAATTTGTGAGGTGCCGAGCCAGCGTGTTTACCAGGACTGGTGGACGCCTCTTCAAGTGTCCTGGTCTTATACTGTCCGGACTTGGAACCGTTCGATTTTTCACCGACGAAATGGCATGTGGGATTTCGGAAGGAAGAACCGGTGATACGACATATCCATCCTCCTTTATTTCATATGAGAGGAGGACGTGGCTATTAAAGAGATCTGAATAGTAATCGTGAATGACTTTCTCCATTGCCTTTCTGGACGCTGTGACTGTTCCGTCTGGGCGTCTCGTTCAGACGTTCTTCTTGGTCCAATCTTGGCAATATATATGTACATATACAAGCTACAATGATAACTTCGAAGACTGTATGGTCTTCTTTGTAGAACTTTTCCAAGTCTTTTTAGAATACATTGACTTCTTCTTCTTCATTGTTTGATATCGGCGCGTAAGGGACAAAGATTGTCAAAGCCGGTATTCATCCACATATTTTTAATCGTAAACGTCCGATCCAGGTTCTAAGCTATTCGAATGAGTCGATGCTCATGGACAAACTAGTGATGACGAGAACGCCAACGCCGCCGACTCATCTACTGCCGCATGTTCCGAAGAACAGTTCTTCTCCGGTGTCATAGACGGCGTTGAATGGGTGGCGTCGCCCCGTCTCGGCAAGGCCGATGACATCGTACCTTGTCCTTCTTGCTTGCATGAGCAAGTCTTCTATCGAGGACTCAAATGCAACTGTACGTGCATTGTAGGTACAGATCTTCACCTTGAAGTCAGACAGGTAACGCGTGAGGAGCCTAGCCAGGGTATTTACGAGGACTGGCGGAAGGTTCTTCAGGTGTTCTGGTCTTATCGTTTCCGGACCAGGTGCTGTTCGATTTTCCACCGGAGAAATGGCATGTGGGATTTCGGAAGGAAGAACCGGTGATACAACATATCCATCCTCCTTTATTTCATATGAGAGGAGGACGTGGCTATTAAAGAGATCTGAATAGTAATCGTGAATGACTTTCTCCATTGCCTTTCTGGACGCTGTGACTGTTCCGTCTGGGCGTCGGAGTACAGTCATCCTGGTTTTGCAACTGGCGAAGCTCGATGAGTTTCGGGAATGCTTTTCCCAGCCTCTGCCACTTCGACCATTACTGCTGCTCTTCTCTCTTTAAGATCCTCTTTTATCGCCTGTCTGCATTGTTTTGCAAGTTCGGACGCCAGATCGCGGTTGCCTGCAGCTCGTGCGATTCCACACTGACGTACCAGCTCAAATGTTTCCGAGACAGACGTCTCTTGGTGGCCTTCGAACTCTCAGCTTTCACAGCGCTAACGTAAAGATGTTGAATGAGCCGATCGTCTTCTTCGTCGGTGTTACCGACAACGACATCTTCTCAGCAGCCNAGCCTAGCCAGGGTATTTACGAGGACTGGCGGAAGGTTCTTCAGGTGTTCTGGTCTTATCGTTTCCGGACCAGGTGCTGTTCGATTTTCCACCGGAGAAATGGCATGTGGGATTTCGGAAGGAAGAACCGGTGATACAACATATCCATCCTCCTTTATTTCATATGAGAGGAGGACGTGGCTATTAAAGAGATCTGAATAGTAATCGTGAATGACTTTCTCCATTGCCTTTCTGGACGCTGTGACTGTTCCGTCTGGGCGTCGGAGTACAGTCATCCTGGTTTTGCAACTGGCGAAGCTCGATGAGTTTCGGGAATGCTTTTCCCAGCCTCTGCCACTTCGACCATTACTGCTGCTCTTCTCTCTTTAAGATCCTCTTTTATCGCCTGTCTGCATTGTTTTGCAAGTTCGGACGCCAGATCGCGGTTGCCTGCAGCTCGTGCGATTCCACACTGACGTACCAGCTCAAATGTTTCCGAGACAGACGTCTCTTGGTGGCCTTCGAACTCTCAGCTTTCACAGCGCTAACGTAAAGATGTTGAATGAGCCGATCGTCTTCTTCGTCGGTGTTACCGACAACGACATCTTCTCAGCAGCCGAAAAATGAATTGAATAAGCCCTAGTTTGCGGTGGTTCTGGGACTTTGGTTTTGAGTTTGGCCACTTTTTCTCCTTTCTGCAAGAAATAGAATATTGCACGAAGGAGACGATGCTCTGATTCCGTGTAGAATATTGGGACAACAGCGTCATCGCTAAGGCAAAACTTTCTGTTTACTATGATGTAGTCTATTTCGTAATGCTACTCTCTATCGGGAGAATCCAACGTTCAGCGTTGAAGGTGGGCTTCTGGAACTATGAATTGCGACGAACGGTCTTGGTCGTTATGATAAACTCAAACAGCCAATCATCCTGCTATTCTAGTCCGTGGGTCCCAATCTGCCGTTGTTCAGACGTTCTTCTTGGTCCAATCTTAGCGTTAAAATCTCCAGTGCTGACAATGGCCTTGAGGAATGTATGGTTTTCTTTGTAAAACTTCTCCAAGTCCATATAGAACGTTTCAATTTCGTCTTCGTCATAGTTTGATGTGTACGCGTATACGACGAATAATGTCAAAGCCGGTGTTGATCCTCATCTGTTTAATCTTAAACGTTTAATCGTTTCGGGTTTTGTAAATCGATGTTCATAGACAAACTCGTGTTGAGCAGAAACTGACACCGCCGGCTTCTCGTTTCGAAGAGCATTTCTTCTCCGGTATCACAGACAGCGTTGAATGGGTGATGTCGCCTCGTCTCGGCCAGGACGTACTTAATCCTTGTTTGCACGAACAAGTCTTCCATTGAAGATTGAGATGCAAGTATGCGTGCATTGTAGCAGGTCTTCACATTAGTTCTTTGCGATTTTGGCAGCTTAGAATGGCACTGAGATTTTAGCAGGCCCCTCCGTACTCGTCCTACCCAATATTGCCGTATGGACTATATCGGGATGAGGGAAATAAGGTCCGCTTATTTTGTAGCGTTGCCGTTTGATATCCACGCTTGTTGAGCTCTGAACATTGGGTTCGGGTATACTCACGGGTAGCTTGATAGTCTCTCCAAGAGTGGACATGTTGCTTTGTTGGAGGCGATTCCTAACCGCCTCCCACATATTACACTATCACTTGATTTCAAGGTCTTGGCCGAATTCATAGAACACAGTCCACATAGCGAGGAACGCGCTCACAGACTCATACATGAATACGCCTCGTAAATGTAGAAAGAATGTTCCAAATCGGCGCAGCTGAAGCAGGGAATCCATCCCCTGGATCTACTTCCGTCTCAGAGAAACGAAGGTCCCGTTTGGCCCGCGATTAGCCTCCTATCCGCCACATGGGGACGCACCACGTAGCCTCACAACTGACCGGCTCGGGATCCTTCATATAAAGAAGGTCCGCGAGGGAGGGAGGGACATATGTGCATATATATTTTCCATAACTCGTAACAGCACGGCTCTGAGGAAGGCGAAATCGCCGAGACGTCAGTCATCGACCAACAGCAACGACAACAACAACGACAACGACATGGAAGACCTATAGCAACCTTGCATTGACTAAACAAGATCAGTTTATAAGATCATATAAGTAAATATATATGTACATATACATAGCACATATATATGCATGTATATATATATATATATATATATATATGTGGCACTTCCTAACCGGTTGTTTACTTACCACAGATCCTAAGCAAAGTTCTCAAGTTGACCCATCGGACCAATTTTGTTCTGAGATCGCGGTTAAGCTTGACAGAAACAGAAAAAGGTGAAACCTACCAATTGGGAAATTGGTGGGGCTGATTGAGCTACTCTATGATTAATAGGATTGCGTACCGTCCCTTAGGTAACTGTAACGTGATGAAAAGTACGAATTCCTGCTATGAAACTATTCTATACATACTTCTTGCTGGTCACTATTTGCACGAGAAACTAAACTTTTAAACCTACTCGTAACGCAAACTTCTTTTCTCGTTTTCCTTTCCATTACTAGAATCTTCCGTTTTGTCTTTGCTTTTTCCGTCAAATTATGCTCTGCATGAACGCTGTTGTTACCTTCTAGTGAAAGCTCTTGTAAGATAAGCAGCATTTCTATAGTAATGACTACTTTTTATTTACTGCGTATTACATTTTTCCACGGCAGGGTATTATGTGTGGAAGAACCACAATGATGATGCGATATTTGCAAAACTCGAGGCCGCAGCTGCCTACAGTGGGAACGAACGCGCTATTACCCTTGCCGGGGAGTAACGCGTTCACCACCACACCATGCGGGTCATTTTGCCTGTCTTTGAGCTAGTTCTATCGATCAGTGCCCTAAGCAAGCAGCCGTAAACTTTTATAATAGGCTCTAAGCGATGAAGCACAGAGCCTTATCAGTTCCTGAGAAATATGGATTGCATTCAATTAATAAGGGATCGCTAGAAATGATAGAGTGCAAATCTGGCCTATCAAGTCAGTGCGGCGGCTATCTTGCAAAACAGCTATGGTACAAATTTTTCGACCCTGGAGAGAGGGCTTGGTGAACTCAAAACATCTGATCGAACGAGCAAACAATACAGTATGTATTTATTGTAGGACACCTCTAATCACTGCATAACACCCACCTCCTATATTTGACTATACTTCATCAAAAGCTTGTACAATTTGATGAGGTCTGAACCTTTTTAAGATCAACTTACCAGTTTAGGAAACATAGGAAACAGAGTGTAGTATTGGACACGACGAGTCCATCCAGATTTTTGGACATTCCCATTCATCAGTGTTATTCTCAACAAACAATCAAAACTGCATATCCTGCTGGAAAAGAAGACCAGTGACGACCATATTTGTTAACACTATTGATCGTTCTGCGCTTTATCTAGAGTTTATGTAGGTGGCTGATGATGGTTCGCTATTTCGAAAGTGCTGACGGCTGTCGTTGTGCAGTAGCACTGGGATGCGGTCGCCTACACCTACTCATATCCTCTTGCTCTTATTTCCTACTGTTTTCCTTATATAAGAACAACAGTTACAACACTTTTCCACAATTATGGATGTACTTTCCATACATTCAATGCATATTATTTCTATAGTTATACTATTCTACTTCAACAGTAGTAAATTATCTGCTTTTGGTGTTCATAGCTAGAAGTCAAACTTCTAACAAGATAGTGAAAAACTGTTATATACAAGGTTCCTACTGGTAAACAAAGATCTGCCGAGTGATTTCAACGTATTTTGTTTCATGCTGAGGGTACTTTGCAAGAAAATCCTTTTAACACATTCCCCAAGAAGCTGCTTTTCGACAACAGATATCGCCTTCCAAGTAAAGATTTTTGGATTCTGGCGATTTTTAGATTGCAACCAATTACATCCACGAGGAACTGAGATATGTTGACCAAGTTTAAGACATCCATTGTTTTCGCATCTTATGACTCCTATAGAAGTCACGTCACGTGTGTGTTCATGGAACCCCGTACTGGTTGACTGCTGAACATACAGAGTACTGCGCATGTAATGACCATGAAAGTTTAACAACATTCCAACCAGTATTTGCAAAACTCTGGATCCCAGGTGTCTATGGTGGGGAACGAACGCGCTATTATCCTTTCCGGGGAGTAACGCATTCACCACCACACCATTGCTGTGGCAAAAAGATCGATAGAAATAGCTGAGAGACGCGCGAAACAAAGGACCCGCATGGTGTGGTGGTGAACGCGTTACTCCCCGGAAAGGATAATAGCGCGTTCGTTCCCCACCATAGACACCTGCGGTCCAGAGTTTTGCAAATATCTCAGCAACGTTGTGGTTGTATTTCGCTTAGTAACCTGCCATGAAAATTATAGAAGGCAGAAAACAAAACGTTAAACATTCCAACCAGTGTTCAACTTTTTATTTATTGCCTATTGTTTCTTTCACGGCAGGGTGTTATATGAGATACGACCACCATAATACTGAGAGATTTGGACCCTAGGCCAGATTCGAACTAGTGATTACGTTTTTCGGGGGCTCACGTGTTACCCACTGCACTGCTGAGGCCATTGCTCTGCCCTTCTCTCAGCCTGTTTTCTACCTTAGTGGTCCCATCAGCAATTACCCATCAACGGGAATGATCCGGGGAGGACAAGTCGGCATTAAACCCAGTTAAGCTGAGCATATCACAATGTTTAACTTTTTATTTGCTATCTTTCTTTTCAATTCAGGGTATTATGTGAGATACAACCACAATAATGCTAAGATCATTACCAGACCATACTCTTCCACGGATGATTGCTGACGGCACCGTTAAGGTAACAAAACAAGCTGACAGAAAGACATGCAAAGGCGACAGTAGTGCAGAGGAAAACGCGCGAGACCCGGAAAAGGTAATCGTTGGTTTGAAGCGCTACTGATGATTCGAGCATCGTAGATGCCTCAGGATCTCCGTCGTTGTATTTCAACTAGTATTCGAATGGAGATTCTCTTCAGCCACTCCTGTTGTTTTTGAGAGTTAGACTCCATAAATATGCACTAAAACACAGGAGATAACAAAACATGCCACATAAAATAATCAATCCAAACGGTTTTGCTTGCCACTGTATCAAAGCTACACGAGCTCCAGTCCTGAAAAAGAAATTGGGATCGAACTTTGGAATTTGACGGTTGAACTGATGACCATGTAATAGAAAACTAGTCTCTTCTTTGTCAAAGTGCTATAGTTTTCAAGTTCATTCGAGTTTATTTTACTTCTTAGCGCATATTTATTTATCAGTTTATTTCGATCCGTACTTGTCACGACTATAAAAGTGAGTGAGGCGTGGCACGGCTATGGTACTGCTCAGCTTGCAGTGCCATGAGTGGCAGCATTTTGAAATGCCCTTTCAGAAATAATCCTAAGATGCGTCCATAATGATGGAATTTCATGTGAAAATTCATCATTTAGTCTGACATAGCCTAAGCCTCCGGATCCTATCTAGATTATTGTTGGCCGCGATAGTTATTTCCTTTTGTCTTTGCAAAGTTCTCATTAAGGGTACCTTTCAAATCGCCATCTCCGTATCACCATGACAAACGCCTTCGATTCAGGAAATAAGCTTGAGGCAAGTTACTAATGTGGTTTAGATAATGTTTATCTATACATCAAAAGAATGAAAATATAAAGCTCTCTGCGATGATCAATTCCTGAGAGGTGCACCATGAATTCGACTCTACGCATCGTTGAAGGTGATTGAATGAATATCTGGTCCATACAATGATACAATGACTCGCGGAGGTCAGCCGATGCATGGAGCTACTATTGCTGTCCTCCCAGACACGTCTAGTAGCAATTTTCCGACCTCGGAGGGATGGAGGGCTTGGTGAGCGTAGTGCGTGGAATCTATACCGTGTATATTGCAAGGCGCTTCTAACCACTGCGCTAGACACTCCCTCTAGATATAAAACTTAGGCCACTCTAACGACATTGGTTGCAATTTGTGGATTTTGAAAAACACTCGATAGAATCGAAATGATGTCGTATTTGATCTCCATGCACTTACACAATGAAACTAACCTTTCTTGAACACTTGAATGGTCTAGCTACTTAGTACCTACCTAGCTGCTAACATGGCGCGAGCAGATTACGGTGGCTGGCAAATTCTGTAATTGAACCTGGCCAATTACGTCAGTGGATGGCGACTTTTTCTTAGAATCTTATTTTCATTTCTGTCACTGCCTTCGTTTTCTGGATACCACCTGTTGCAGTGATATTCGAATGTGGAGCAGTTGAAGTAGTTTCTGGAATAGCTGATGGATTACGGCTATAGTGCTAAGAGGATTTTGATTTGTGAATAAAAAGTAGTTCTAAGGTGTGAGGGCATACAATTATTTAAGTCATTTAATGTATTTTGCTATTGAAATGACAATAAATTAGCTCTTGACAGTTTTGGGATCAGAATTGTCCCACCTTTTCCATTACTTGAATGTTCATGAGGCAGTTCTTTTCCATATCTACCTCGATTCATTTTTAGTTTCATCACAATCAAGGAAGTCTTCTAAATAGACATTTTCCAAATTTAGCACTTTTTTTAGGGATTGAGATATTAAATAGGGGAAAGGAATAGGTTCTTAATGTACAAGTCTTGAAGGTTCCCATTTCCTTGTAGTTGTGGCCTTTTAGGATCTAGAAGAGTGCATTGGAGGTAACGACAAGGGTTTACATATGTCATCGAACGAAGAAATCAATGAGTTTCGTAAAAGAAAAGTGGCCCTGATTACTGGAATTTCAGGCCAGGTAACCTCGATTGCTTCCAATCGCGTTTTCTCAATACTATTGCTTATGTAAGAAGAACCCAGTGGTGATCTTTGTGCAGCACTTTATTGTTTTCGGTCTTTAGGATGGATCCTACCTTGCTGAACTGTTACTCTCTAAGGGTTATGCCGTTCACGGTGTCATTCGACGATCGTCCTCTTTCAATACGGGTCGTATTCAACATCTTTACAGCAATCCGATTCTTCATTGCGGTGAGGCTTCCACACTTTTCAATGATCTTGATATGGTCACTTTTTTATTTACTGCGTAATCTTTTCTTTTTAATGGCAGGGTAATATGTGAAATATAACCAAAATGATGCTGAGATATTTGCATAACTCCGGTCCGCTGGTGTCTGCAGTGGGGATCGAACACGCCCTTTCCGTGGGCTAACGTGTTGACCACTACACTATGCGAGTCCTTCGTTTCGCTTTCCTCTCAGTCGTGTTATTGACCTGTAGGTGCCATCACCAATCACCCGTCAATGGGTTCGATCTGGGGAGAATAAATCGGCAATGAACCCACTTAAGCTAAAGCTTTGGTGTAGATCACAATGTAGTCATTTCTATAAAAAAGTGTATAAATCATTCCTATAAAGTAGAAACAAAGGACTCATATGGTGTGGCGGTGAACGCATTAGCCCCGGAAAGAGTAATAACGTGTTCGGACCCCACCGCAGAGACCAACGGTTCTCAGTTTTGCAAATATCTCAGCATCATTATGATCGTAATGTCCTTATTTACAGTGTCAAGTAAGTAAGTGAATTGATTATCTCACCTGGGTTTTTCTGACTATGCCATTGATCAATTTGATTTTCCACTGCTTATTTCACGATCACTGTATGCTCTTCTTCCTTTATCTTACGTGTGTCCCCCATGACTGCCGCATTTTATTCATTCGCTACTACTTTCTACTCTGCGCACTTCTTTCTGTAGTTAGTACTCTTCCGATTTTGTGACTCTGCTTCATGCTTGTGGGTGAGTATCTGCATTAATGTTTCCTTTCGGAAATATTGTAATGTCGTCAGCAGAATTTGTGGGTAGAATGGCCTGGTCATGCAGCTTCTCTTCTTCATCCGCGTTGTCAAGTCGTTTTACCACATGGAACAGATGAAGTTGCTGCGGAATCAACCTTGCGCCTCAAGCTATAGAAGCTTGAAGGATAAAGCTCTGGACTATGATCTATCCCTGAGGGATGCGCCATGCATTAGACTTCATTAAGCGTAGTTGAAGGTGACTGAATGCTTATCTAGCCTTTACAATAGGTTCCGGTGGCCTACCGATATATCGAGCCAGTGCTGCTATCTTCCCAGACAGATCTGGTACCAATTTGCCAACCCAGGACCCGGAGGGATGGAAGGCTTGGTAAGCCGACGCCATGGGATCGAACCTATGTGTGTTTTATGTTATGTATGTATATCTGTATGTGTGTGTACATATATACATGTGTGTACACACACGTATATACGCCTACTTACAATTACATTTATACTATGCATGTGCAGACATATATATGTATATACATGCATATATGTGCACATATACATATATACATATGTGTAACATTTGGGAATGCTCCAGCCCGGCTTTCGCAAACTGCAGGAAGGGCTCGATCAGCATTCTACGACATTCAAGACGAAATGAAAATCCTCAAGCAGCAGCCTGAAGTCACACGTAAAAGTTGAGAGACCTTCGTGGATGTCGGGTGCGAGGGGACAAATCGAATGTGAGGAGTTCTGGGATGCGAACAGTTTACGTGAAGACGGGTCGTGTAAAATAAAAAAAATATATACGACGTATATAGTATTGGAACGGACTAACTTTCTGCATTAATGTTCAAGTGTCAGTTTCGGCAGTTTCGTCTACAGATGTGTGTGAAACTTCTACATAGTGTTAGCTGATGAACCAAATGTCTATACGTCAATGTTAACGTAAATTAATGTATTCGAAAGAGTGGCTTCTTCTCCAACTCGTCTTGGTTCTACCTGGTTGACGAGTTTACACGATGGCGCTCTGCTTTTAATCTGTTTGTCCCACTTATGCAATTCCTTCTGCGGTATTGTCCATTTTTATATGACCCGACATCACATGTTGTGCAGATCTCAGCGGTTCTGGCATTCGATTTCGTTCCTGACGTTCATATTCCATCAAAATTTTCCGATTTGCGTGTGGGTTCTGCTGTTTCTGCGGGATTTCTGTCCTAATGAATATAGTTGAATGCTTGTCGAGTTGATTTCCTTGAAATCTTGGAGTAACCATAGTATGGCATTTCCATATCCTCATCACGCAATCGTCACCTGTAGTCGATTGGATGGTTGAGGTGGTCCTAGACAAGTGTAGCTGGTGAGAACTTTCACGTGTTTGGATCGGCGGGTAGTCGAACTAGAGCCTTGCGCATATTGAGAGTCATCTTTACAGCTGCTCAATGGGTGCCCTATTTCTCCTATATTTGTAGTACAAATAAACTTTTTGTACATATGTACATTGTTTGATTTGAGCTGTTACAATGTAGATGGATTTGTTTTCAACTCTTTAAGTAGAATTCAAGAACATTTTTTTATGTGGTCTTATAAACTGATCCTCTTTAGCTGACACGAGGTTGGTATACGTCTTCGTTGTCACTGTCGTTGTTGTTATTGTTGCTGTTGTTCTTGTTGGTCGATGGCTGACGTTTCGGCGATTTCTCTTTCCGCAGAGCCGTGATGTTACGTGTGGGACTTCCAAAAACAAACAACAGCAACAACAATAACAACGACAACGACAACGAAGGCCTATACCAACCTCGCATCAGCTGAAGGTCAGTTTGTAAGATCATATAAATAAACATTTCAACTGTGTATGCCGAGGTTTATAGAAAGTCGGTCTTTTGAGCTTCAGGAATACTCTTCTAAGTACGTGGTTTTTTTATTTATTTCCGGCTGAAAATACTTCCAAAGCAGCTTTTGTTAGCCCTTTGATGACATTTCTGATAATTATGTTCACAGGAACCGCTTGAGTAATTTTATAGGTTGTAAACAGATACCTCCCAACGGTTCATCACCTCATCGTGGTTGGAAGGTGTTTCTGGGTGTCGGGCTGCGTTGTACAGCGTGGAGATTCGTCCTCCTCGGCAGGGTCTTCCAAGCTGAGAAGGAGTCCGGCGTTTCCATCGGAAAGCCTAGCTAAGAGTAGACAAATCCTTGGATCCCTCATCGTCCTCGTACAAAACTAGACGCATGGTGGCAAATCTTCCTCTCATCCACGAGGGCGGCGACTAACTGTGGTGGTGCCGACCTGGGGCAGACTTTGGCCTGGCTGACCTCGGGACTCCAAGCAATAACAATGGCTAAACCAGCGAAACTCCGAAAAAAGTGCAGATTATGATTGGGTCATCTAAGTATCTAAATTCTCGATATTCTTGTTGAGCAAACATTGAGTTGAGCAAATCTGAGTGTACAGATATGGTAAGTCATTTTAGCAAAACTAGTCGACTTAGTCAACATTTACATCTTATTCTTTGTGCCTTTGTTTTAGAAGCATAAAACCATAACACAACTTTAGCGACGAGGTGTTTGATCCTTTTTACTGTCGTCGGACGATTGGTCATTCTCTAAAGACCACAAGCTACCTGTGGTGAACTCCTGTGAACACCTTAGCTCCGCTGTTACGGAATTCTAGAAGAGATTTGAACTCGAATGACGCTTAAAATTTTAATGAGAGGATGAGACTAGCTGTGGTTCAGTTCGCTGCCTAGTTCCTATTTTAATCCATCTGCATCTATGGATGTTTGAAGAATAGTCAATCGAATGGAAGGTGTTCTTCCTGTCAATTCTACTTACTATTTAATCTGTTTTCTTCGGAAGGGTGCTGATTATCCGCTGCACTTTTTGAGCCACTTGAAATAAAATTCCTGTTTAACTGTTTACTGTTTAATGCGAAGCGTATGTGTAGCACAGTGCTCGGAGGCACCCTATAATACACATAGGATCGTTCGCCGGACCCCAGACCTGTCACGATCCATCTTTCCGAGATCGGCAAAATGGTACCAGAGTTGTCTGGGAGGATAGCAGTACTGTCTCGTTCCATCAGTAGGCCACCGCGAGTCATCGTAAAGCGCAAATATGCATTCAGTTACCTTCAACCATGCCTGATGAAATTGAACGCATGCTTGACGCATCCCTCAGAGATTGATCAACGTCAAAAGCTTTGTAATTTTTTTTTATCCTTTTTATGTAACAACATACTTAACGTGATGAGCACATTCGTGTGGATTAGGTTGAAAGATTGAATCAGTGGAAGTTGCTTCTAGATTGCTTGTCTAAAATCAATAGATGTGATATTTTTGAGTCGTTTTTTCTAAATTGGAACTTTCACCTTTGTAAACACTCAGTCACTTCATGTCTTAGCTGTTATATAGGGCACGTGAGGCGCAGAGGCTTTCGAGGTAAATGTGTAGCGCATCCATATCAGACTGGTTAACGTAAAGCTTTAACTGTAAAGACAATGTACTCAAGTTGCTCGCTAATTATTTTTTGCACATACACTGATCCTTGTGTTTGTGGTGGAGCAAATTTTGCTTTCGTGAGACAACACCTGTTTATTGCATTAAACAATGCAGTCTGAGTTACTATAGAAGCTGAAGAAAATTGGACATTTCTAGTATTTTAAGGACAAAAATATTCACACAGTTATTGTAAAAAAAAAAGTTGGTAGCAAAACATTTAGTATACTACCATTATGATGCTGAGATATTTGCAAAGGTCAGCCCCCAGCCCAAATTCGAAACCGCGATTAATCTTTCAATTTTCCGGGGCTCATACATTACCCACCCCACTATTGAGGCCATTACTATACCTTTTTTTCGGCCAGTTTTTTTTTACTCTAATGGTCCTGAGGGCCTCAGTGATGCAGTAGGTAACACGTGAGCCGGCTGAAAGGAAAATCACGTGTTCGAATCCGGCCAAGGACCTAGTTTTGTAAATATCTCAGCACCATAGTGGTTGTATTTGGCAGCATACTCTGACGTGAAAAGTAATGAAAGACAGTAAATAGAAAGTTAACATTGTGATTTAGCTAGCTTTTTCAGTATTGGCCATGGATATACGGAGTTCATCCTCATATTCGAATGTTTTAGGAGACTCTTCATTTACCTTGCACTATGGTGATATGACTGACTCTTCTTGTCTCATTAAAATCATTACTAAAATCCAGCCATCTGAGGTTTATCATCTAGCTGCACAATCCCATGTAAAGGTAGTAGTTTATTTTCGTACGGTATTTTTATGGAAATGTCTTCTTCGGTGATTCTGCACTAAATTCAGGTGTCTTTTGATTTGCCAGAATACACCGCTGAAGTTGATGCCGTGGGAACCCTGAGGTTGCTCGATGCGATCCATGCTTGTGGTTTAACCCGGAAGGTGAGCTATATATTTTTCGTCCCAATGAAGTACTGCTTGTTTAGCAAAGCCAGTGTTTTAAAAGGCTTCTTCTCCAGGTTCGATTTTACCAAGCGTCAACATCGGAGTTATTCGGTAAAGTACAGGAAATTCCACAAAAGGAAACGACCCCGTTTTATCCACGTTCGCCATACGGTATAGATTGGTTCTTTGGTGTTAGTCAGGTACTTTGGTATCTCAAGAGGTGAGATTAGTTTTAGCAGTGGCAAAAATGTATGCCTATTGGATAGTAGTGAACTACCGTGAAGCGTACAATATGTTTGCTTGCAACGGAATTCTCTTCAATCACGAAAGTCCTAGACGAGGTTCGATACCTTCTCGATTGTACTGTCAGTGACTCTAAGGTTATGAATTTTATAAGAATCTAAAATTGTAAGCAGAATTTTATTATACGATGTTATATGCCTGTTTTAGGGGAGACGTTCGTCACTCGTAAGATCACTCGTTCAGTGGCTAAGATCAGTTTAGGACAACAAAGCTACGTAGAGCTTGGTAACTTAGATTCTCTTCGTGATTGGGGACATGCGAAAGAATACGTAGAGGTACGTCGTATATACAGCTAGCGTTGCCATGTGTTATTTGAACTGTACAGAAGCATTGATCCCGCTTCTTTCATTATTTTGTTGAAAATGATTTAACCACAATGACGCTGAGGTATTTGCAAAACTCCGGATCGCAAGTGTCTGCTGTGGAGAACGATTACGCTACTACCCTTTCCGCAGGCTAACGCGTTCGCCACCCCACCATACGGCTTCTTTGGTTTCGCCTATCTCTCACCTAGTTTTCTATGAATTAGTTCTCGATATTATTGTTGAACAGACACAATGTGTTACTTGATTCTTTATTAACGGCTCGGAAGAAGGAGGTACTGCCGAAACGTCTGTTTTAATGGAATATTGAAGAAAGTTACGCTTCGTTTTTGCTCAACAAGAACATCGAAAAATGCTTGATCAATGCCAAAGTTAATATAAAGTCAGCTGTGGGAATGATTTATTTTACTTTCATTTCGTTTTAGGCAATGTGGCGAATTCTTCAACACGATAAACCTGAGGACTTTGTGATTGCAACCGGAAAACAAACAACTGTTAGGCAGTTTTGCAATTTAGCGTTTAAGGAAATCGGCATGGATTTGGAGTAGGGATTTTAACTTTTAGCCCATCATGCATTTTTCCCTACTTATGCATCCCATGAATTCTTCTGTATTTCACGTTTCTTAATCCAGTATTTTCTTAGAAATTAGTCCTAGCCTACACCACGTGCTTACATTCCTCAATCAATTGCTTTTGTGTGATCTTGCTACTTTTGAACTTTCAGGTGGGAAGGCGAAGGTATCGATGAGGTAGGGAAGGAGAAAGGCACAAACAATGTGCGCGTCAAAGTTAACCCAAAGGTCATGCCTTCATCGCTAACAATTGAGTGGTTTTAATCTCGTGTTTTAGTTTTGATTTGATTTCATGTTATTTTTTAGTACTACCGTCCTACTGATGTCGACACATTACTGGGCGATTCATCGAAAGCCAAGGAGGAACTAGGTTGGGAAGCTCAGATTTCAATAGAAGTAAGCAGTTGTTTTTCATTTTCACTCTTATCTACTTCATTTAGAGACTTCATATTCTAGGAACTTGTCAAGGAAATGGTTTCCTCTGATGTGGCATTGATGGTTTCAAATCCTATGGCTTGAAAAACTCAACTGTTGGGACACATGTTAAATTTTCATGGTCTAGAATCTTCAGGCGTATTAATATGTGTAATTGTTAATGTTTTGATGGCTATCTTTTTTGTATGCATTGTTAGTTTTCCATAGGAACTCTTTAATCCAGTCAGTATCGCTGTGATATTTTTCGTAATGGGGTGTCTAAGGCTTTCAATAAACGTTGCTGATGAGGAATATGAACTGCCAATTTGTGTCAGAACAGAAGTTATTGCTGAAGGAAACCATGTGTCCCTAAGCTTATGCCCGACGGCGATTCTGTTGAGATCATGATAAAGTGAAATCGGTTGGCCAGGTTCAAAATGATTATCGAATATTGTCCTCATTTCCTTCATTCGGATTCTATCGACCTGTTTTCAAACGTAAGTTCGCATTGGAGTTACTTTAACTTCATAGATGCTTATTGTTTCAATGATTGGAGTAATATGTGATAGTTATTGATTGGGACGTATTTATTGTAGTGTTGAGAGTAGTTTGTAAGCTTTATCTTGGAGATAAGCGTTAACCGATGGTTGCTTACTTCGAAAATGCTTGGTCGTGTAAGTTCAAGGTGAGCAGCTCATTTGGTTGGCGAGTTTTTCAAAGAGTCAGTAAGATTTGTTTTTTGTAACATCTTATATCCACAATGGTTGAGGGGAAGACGAAACGAAGGAGACCCGCATGGTGTGGTGGTGAACGCGTTAATCCTCGGGAAGGGTAGTAGGGCGTTCGTTCCCCACCGCAGACACATGCGGTCCGGAGTTTTGCAAATATCTCAGCACCATTATGATTGTATTTCGCTTAACATCCTGCCTTGAAGAATTGTTATAGACTGTAAATAAAGGGTTATTATAGCTTCTTATAGTTCCTAGAAATTGAATATCTTGATGCTATTCAGGGAGTCGGTATACTTCTTTCTTTGTATAGGGCAGTACTGTTGCATACGGTTTCCGGATCTTATATTCCGGACTCCTTATGTTATCTCTTGTCCCTTCGTTTTGCTTTCTTTCTTTTTGGCATATGTAGTGTTGATTGGTTGTATAACATAGGTAGGATCTACTTGAGATTTAACTTAAGCTTCCTTTTGTTATCGAATTTCGTTTATGAGCCACTTGACCCCTAGACAGTAGCTAGAGGGAAAACCCCTGAATTCATGCGGTTCGCGTCGAGTTGCGTTCCGTCGCGATGGGCGGAACGCGGCGGCTGCGGTGTCCGCGGTATCTACTCGCGCATTCCCCCTGCAGTTAGTCTGGTATTCTCGGCACTTTCGAGCACGTATCTGATCAGTTCATCGTTTTGGCTTGATTTCAATGCGCAAATCGTTCATCCGCGTGGCAGGTACTATCCATTGCTTGGCAAACACACGACGGCGCCTGCTTTATATTGATTTATGCTGCCGTATTCAGTGAGCTAAGCGACGAATATTGACGCTATATCAGACCTTATCGAGCTACTCGCTTACTTATGATATGCTTATAGTTCTATTTCAGAGAAACACTCATCTTGGATAGCTTAGCAAAGTGTAGTGTCATGCAGTACAACGTTGGAGACCACGTGAGATGTATATGGGGAGCGAAATCTGTTGAATACGAAGCAAAAGTTCGTTCTCACTTAGTTTTCCTAACGTTTTCTCAGTAACCTGAAAGGTTGGGGTTGTTTACTGATAAAATGTGGACACTTAGTTGCGAAACTATCCGTGCTCCTTTTGGGTTTAATAGGGACGGAATGGTTTCTTGGTAGGAAAGAAGTTATTGTGGTTGAAGCAGTTATATCCTTGTGATACGCTTCATAAGATCTAGAAGTTCGTCTTCAAAAAGGTTGTTGACTTGCCCTGAAGAGGTCAAGTACCACAGGGTTTGCAGAACACACTAGTCTTCTTATGAAGGATTCCGATTAACCAGCTAGGTATACTTCCATCCGACGACAATTTACCCTTGTTTATGGGAAGAATATGACCCATCGATAATGGTTACTGCTGTGTGAGAAGTGAAGTTTGTTTTTCCTTGGAATAAGAAGCTGGGTTCGTGAGTATATTCTCTCCAATAAGCAAAATGCGGAAGCTGGCCAGAGAACTCTGATAGTTTTCTTGTGGAATGCCATCATCAATGTGAATCTTTTTATTTACTTATTTATTTTTCAGATTATTGTTGTCAATAGAGCATCTAAAGAATACTTCGTCCACTATCAAGGATGGAATAAGCGTTATGACGAGTGGATTTCAGAGAAATCCGTTCTAGGTTTATGGAAAAAACCGGCTACTGTGGTCGGTGCACCAAAAATCCGTCATTCGAAAAGGGGTACGATTGAAGTAACCAATACTTGGAATTTTCTCTGTTTCCTTGGAGTAAAAGCTGCAATGTATGTTTATCTTTCAAGAGAAGAAGACAAGAAGGCCAGTTGACTGGTCACCAACTCCTACGTCATCTCGTGTTACAGAGAAGGTTATTTCGGTGAAGGTGGATTGTAAGGTGACTTTTCGAGTTATTTACTTGAATTGCATAATTTTATGTTTTCACACACTGTTAATTAGTAAGTATAACCCTGATACTCAGCAATTTGATGAATTTCTAAAAGTTTGTAGCCTTCCGTTCGGGTGCCGAAGCCGAAACGTTCTCCAACAGTCAGAGTGGTTAAACGACCACGGCTTCTTCCAGTTCCGAAGTTCGTGGATGAGTCGGCAGAAGAAAGGTGTGGTTTGCAATGGTATACTGCAGTTATTGCAAAGATATTAACTTTAATCTTTTAGCACTCAGCTTATCTTTTATCACTCATTTAACCATTAGTAGTTTCAATAGGGTAGAAAGTTCTAGTACAATGTAAAAACCAATGAACTTCATAGCTTTTCGACTTTTCATGTATCATTTCTAGCATCACTAGTGACGACGAGGATAGTGGTGCCAGATTTCCTCGTTCGTACATCGATACTCTGGCTAAGCAAAGGAAACGTGAAGAACGAAAAAGATACCGGCACTCATCACCGAAACAAGCGGGAGATCTCTTCAAAAGCTCTTGGTATTTTTGGTTTTTAGTCCTCATATTCCGCTTTTCTCCTCATGCCAATACACTGACTGAACGTGATGAACACGTTCTGTTCTTGGGTCTGAAACTTGTGGCTCAGGCCTGCCTAGTGGTCGACAGATCGATATTCGCGCGTTGCAGACGCGACGTGGCTTGGTCATTACGAACACAACGTTTTGTTTTCGAGAGAAAATTGGAAAAGCTCCAATCGTAACTTTTTTCAGGAAGTCATCTCAACCAAGAAATGTTGCCGGTGAAATTCCGCTCCTATCCCATATAGTAGGTTTTCTATGCTACTTAAGGTTTTAGACCAGCCACTTGATTTCAGCGGCGCTGCTTACACTTATTAAACTTTTTAAACTCTCGTTCACTCACTTAAGACTCACTCGTAGTGACTAATATGCTGTAGTTTTAATGGTACGTAACGACATAGAAGGTTTAGGCCTCCTTTTTGGCAGTCCTCTCGTCATTTTTCCCTTGATTTTGAAGTAGTTTTTACGAGAAGACGTTAGGAATAGAGACTTTGTTACTACGCGGGCTCCAGGACAACCACATTATTCGAAACTAGCCTGAAACGAGTCATCTAAGAGAACGACGATTTTGTCGAGATGATTGTTCAGAATAATCATTTGAATTTTACCTAATTTGTTAGAAAAGTCGATTACACGAACACATTACAGCATTTGCACTGTGAACAGTAACTGACACCAATTTTTTATCTCCAGCACTAGCCACTTTTCTTTCCTTGCAGACATCTCTGTGACCAAAATATTTCTCGTGAGGAGCTGGTGAGCTAGAATTTTCAAGTAATCTCTTTTAGCCTTCTACGGCGATTGATACTGCAAACAATTTGACTGCTGCAGTATCTAGTACACTTGCGGAATGTCTTGATTTCTCATACATTGGTAAGTTGTCTATTTAGGTCGCTTTTTGTGCTACATCATAGCCCTTCCCATTCCTGTTTTGGTGAAAGTTTCCTTCAAACTTTCGATTACAGAAGCAGATTACAACTATTCTAGTCTGCGCTTCCATTACAGTGATGCTCAGTCTTTCAGTAAGTAAATTCAGTTTTACGGCCTATATGGTGGCTTTGAAAAATGTCAAGGGTAGACATTGTTTGTTTCTTAATATTCCGGTTTGTATTCCAGATGTTCGAAATGATTCAAATAGCGCCCAGGTGACAAGTAGCACTAAACGTATGAACATACTACCTCTTAGGAAGCCGTTGAATGTGCAGTGTAAGATCACCCTACATTTTAGGTTTTAACATGTCAAATTTGATTGATTGTAAGCATTACAGTCACTTTTCAGTGGTTATTCATTATAGGTAAATTGGCTTGTTGCGCTCCTTTGAACTTGTTTATGAAAGCGTCGTCGGTAAATTTGGAACCTCATCAAAAATTAGATACTCCTCCAAATCTCGGTTAGTTGAGGCATCTCCATGTTAACTTTTTTTTCGAGAAAATAGGTATAGTGATTTCCAATTTTGACACCTCGATACACATGCTTTTAATTTCGATCGAGGTGTCAAAACTGGAAATTACTATACCTATTTTATGGATCGAGTTTTTTCACTTCCTTTTTAGGATCTCCCTTCAACTACGATGAAGAGTGTCGTCACATAGTGAGTTTCGTGGCAAAGTTGTTGTTTTTTGATAGAATTTTCTATTTAATCGTCTTTAAAGCGTTCATTGTTCATCTAGCCAAGGGTGTAATAAAAACTCGTACCTGAGTTTATATCCGTCAATGTCGCTAGAAACAATAGGAACAGGTCTCATCGTAGTCACTTCCCCAAGCATCCTGGGTGATATGTTAAGCGGTTCCACGAAGCAATTTTCCAAGTAGTTGTCTTCTTTTACTAGTTGTTACAACTACTTGCTGTTCCTATTTCTACACAAAGCATCTTCTGTTTTCAATAAGTCAGGAACCATACTGTGCCTTCATTTCATTGGTTAAAATGTGATTACTTAATGTCCAGAAATTTGTGAAGTATTCTCATTATCATTAGTTACAGTCTTCGCGACAGACGGAATACAAGGATGGATTTGGCGTTTCTAAGTGAGTTGAATTCAGTTTTATGGAAAATATTATGAGCCATAAATTGTTTTACATTCATGAAAGCTTATATACATGAATACTTGAGTCCATGTCTTTGCGATTCACAGAGGAGCGTGGATATCACGTCACAATTTCTGTTTAACTGGTAATTTGTTGGTTGAGCAAAATCGTCACTCCTTGGCCGTCCTAAGGCTTTATGACATATTCACCATTTGCCAACTCATGTTTACATTGTGACCACGGTGGCAGCTTCTGGTAGTAGTTTATGCTTAGCGTTTTTGAATGGTAGCATCGAGCTCGTACTCGGTTCGCGAGACTTGGTGATAAATCTGCAGTCGTACATCGTATTTCGAAATATACCTATTAAAATTCCCCGCAACGATAAGATAAACCATTTGGAGGGATGGTTATATGCCAATCGATCTTCTGTATCAACTTTCATGCCGTTGAAATTCTTCCATTTCCTCCTATCGCGTGCTACAGTGGCGTAGTGAGTTATATTCGCTCTAGGAACTCGTTGAGCATCATATCTTCTACGGTGTTTGTACAGAACTCTGACCATCGGGTCTTTGTACAGTACGTTTGACATCCGGTGGAATACAGTCATTTAGTGTGATTTTATGATAGATTTTCGCTCGTTGACGTAGGTTGGAGCTTCGGATCTTTTCCCTCACTACTGTGACACAGGACACTTCTAGCATTGCGCATTCGACGGCGCGTTCAATAACGCTTAAAAATCTTTCATCCTGCTTACTTAGCAACCAGGTTTCTGACGTTTACGCTAAGACAGGAAGATTCGTGGAGTCCTAAATCTCGACGCGGAATGGGCATTTATTTGTTCTGCTCGCTATATCCCCACTGCACTCGAAGACTCCCAAACCGCTCGTTTCCTTCTCCAACTTTGGAGCTAAGTCTTTTATCATATTGATTTCCCGAACTAGATGGATATAACTGAAGCATTCGGAGATATTCTTTCCGTTGAGCGTACATGGAGAATACGAAATCAATCCGCTCCTCATGAACATCGTTTTTCTGAGATTTAGTCGAAGACCAAATTTTCCACAGGCTTCGTCAAACTCGGCAAGCATTCATTCCGCTTGGCTGAGGTTGCTGTTATAGAAACGGTATCATCAGCAAAGCGAAGATGGTGTTATTGTCGACCATCGATTTTCACTCCTGTTGTCCCATTCCAGTGTTAGCATGATGTTTTGGAGGTTGACTTATTTGATGCTAATATCGTCGTAGAATGGTGATATTTTAGTTGTGAAATTTTGTATAATAGCTTATGAAGAACCTTTATGTACCGAATAGGGGCGCTGTGGCTGTCCAAGGCTTCCTTGATTACTTCTATCTAAGCTGAGTCAAAAGGTTTTCTTAAATCGGTGAAGACAGAGCGATCTGTTGTACTCTAGCGATACTTCACTCAGTTTGGTTATCGTGTGAATGTAGTCCATCGTACTGAGTCCTTTTCGTTCTTTCATCTTACCCACATGGCTCTTTTTCTTCCAGTATTCTGTCAGTGTTGTTTAGGATGATTCCAATGAGGACTTTGTAAACGACAGACAACAACAACATTAGGCGAAATTTCCCGATATCGTGGAGGTCACCCTTGGTGAATAATAGCACGGTCTTGCTGAGCATCCACTGAGTTGGAACCTTGTATTCAGACCAACAGAGTCTAAAGAGCCGAGCCAGTGTGTTTATGATAACTGGCGTATAGGTTCTTCACGTTTTGAGATCTTATCCTGTGCGGACCTAATGTTGTTCGTTTCTTTACCCCTATCAAATAATGTTGAATTTTGAAAGGTGAACTGGTGGTACGCGTTGTCCCTTATTAGGTATAAAGACAGGACGACGTGGCTATTGGAGAGATCCAAGTAGTAGTTAAGCTTCAGTGGGCTAGGAAGATGTTGAATGAGACCATATTATCAAGAAAGACATTTTCCTAAAACCGAATATTGGTTCAAACAGGTCCCAGTTTATGGTGGCTTTGGTACTTCCCTTTTTGTACTTAGCGGCGCTATTTTCAGCGAAAAATGAAGTCTTGCACAATGGAGCCGATGGTGTGATCCCGTATAGAATTCTGGCACACCTGTGACATCGAGTTTTCAAAGCTTTCGATTGACTATGACGTTATCTATTCCGTTAAGTTACTCTCCATTGGGAGACTCCCACATCCAACGTTGAGAGTGGAACTCTGGCATTGCGTGCTACCATAAATGATCTTGGTCATCATAATAAGATCTGGTAGCCGCTCACCGCGCTCGTTGAATTCTAATTCGTGGGTCTCAATGTGATGTTCTTCAGACATCCTTCTAGGTTTTATCCTAGCGTTAAGATCTCCAATGATGTTCTTAAAGAATATGTGGTCTTCTCTGTAGAACTTCTCCAAGTCTAATGATTCTGCGAGTGCAAATATATGCTGATGGATATGTTAGCGAAAGTTAGTTAAATATTTGTATTAGCTGTTGGCTTTTAAGGAGTAAGAGTTTCTAAACACTTAACACTACATTGTCTATTCTTTTGAATAAGTAATGAAATTTCGTTTCAATCTTTCTGCGATTTTCCGAGAAACTCATTTTTTGTTTTGGATAAAATATATTCTGAGTATAAGATTGGAGGACTTGAAATGTTTACTAATCTGTTTCGCAACAAAGTTAGTTTCCAGCCTTGTAAATCGACATGCCAGCGATTTTAGTCCCACAAGCTCCTCTAGTTCAGAATCAGGTGATTGCTCATCTGATCTGAGTTCGAAAAGCGGGATCAGCGTTCACAATAACTTCATACTTCTGTAAAATCTTTATCCTAGTTGGTCTAAGTTTCGAGGAAGCCGTGCTATAGCTTTTTTTGGTTTGGATTTATTCGTTTCCTTTTTTCATGTATCTTTATGATTTGTGCTCTCCATATCCGATTTCTGCAGTCTGTTAAGAATAACTCTTTGTTCTGATATATCACCATATGTTGAGGTGTCATTATGGACCGATAGATCTGTTGAATAGGTGAGGGCCGTCGTGTTCCACCACAGAACTCTTTAAATTTTGCATCTTTTTTCTTTGCTTTTCGTAGAGCTTACTTAGTTGGTTCTATTTTTCTTCTCGTTTTCAACGACATGATTTTTATTTGGTCATTAGTGATTAAATATCGTGAGGTACTATCAGACGGTTAACAGTAGATAGTGTAATATCAATCAGCAAACAACCACCAGTTCTTTTCGATTTCGGTAGGAATTGATTTGGTAGTGTTGACGACATGGCGTGTATGTACACAGTGCTATACAGAAATATCCATATCAAATATTCAGATGTTGTATGTTGTGTCTTTCTGGTTACGGATGTGTAGTACGGTTATTGAGTCGAATTGATTCTCGAAGCAACACTCAAATCGGTTACTGTCTGGTCTGTAACTGTTTTTTTCTGGTGTACATAGTGTTTCTGTCCGATAACTTTCAACATAAGATTTATTTCCGTTGTCTTGATTGAATACAGTGTCTATGTTTGCTTATGAAGTCCTAATAATAAATGCTATTTCATGGTTTTATGAATACACTAATTCGTGTTCAAGGGAAGTGCACGATACCATCCTGTTTAGTACTTTTAAGGTTATTTCCCTCCAAAACTCACCTGCCAATTATCTTATACAGTCCACCGAGCTTTAAAATATGCTGAAATCTTTGGCGTCTGGCGTTAGAGTCAATCTATAAAGGATACACTATGCACTAGACTTTACCATGCATGATTAGAGGTAATTGCTAGCCTATACAATAACTTTCGGTGTCCTCCTGATATATCAGGTCAGTGCTGCTATGCACGCAGACAGGTCTAGTATCACTCTGTCGACCTCGAAGGAACAAAGGCTTGGTGAGCGCGGGACGAGGGATTGAAATGAGGACTACGTCTGTGATGCAGAACACCTCTGACCACTACGCTTCGTGCGCCCCAGGAATGGTGTACAAGAGATATACTCGAAATATGGATGGAGAGAAGCATTGACATATGAAATGAAACTATCAGTAGCGGAAGGTATGGAACTTGGTGGAACCACAGATCTTAATCTTTCTCGCTTCAAGCAGGAATCCTTGCTTTAGGTAGTGATGTGAATATAGATAGGTCTTTTAATGAAGGGTACTTCTGCTGGCGTGCTGGCGTGTTTGCCAACTGACCTCATTAAGTCTAATTTGTATGTCGCATCCATATTCACAATGGCAATGACTTTCCTGTACCACACAGAAATACTAAGACATCGAGTTGTCAAAAAGCTGTTCTTCGGTGGTGGTTTACGCTAGACGGAATACTGAACGTCGATATTAAGCTAACAGGCCATCATATAAAGAATCTTTCACTCTTTCTTCTTCGCGTTCCATTGCCTCGAGCAGAAATAATGGTGGGGTTTTTCTGTTGATTTGGTTTGTTTAAATGAGCTCGTGAGCTTGAGTCGTAAAGCCCAAGTGTTACTCAGTCACTCAACTCGGGATTATTTTACTCAGTTGGTGAGTCAGCGTTTCTTTTTCCTTGTTTCAAGTCAAATTGTGTGAAAATCAAGTTACCATACTACTCCAAAACAAGAAATTAAGCGTGCTGTTGTCTCGTGAAATGCAAGTGCACTTTGTAGTTGCTGGTTAAACTGCGACAGCTCGCGAATCCATCGTTTATACTCAGCGTTTTTGTTCTCATTTAT